TATACTGGCTCATTTATTGCCACAGCCCCCTACAAGAATTTACATTATGTACATTATGTATCAACAGTGCTGTGCACTTTAAACTCTAGTTCATAAGAAAGTCAGCATACTGATAATTTGAATAGAAAATGTTGTCTCTGGAGAATCACATCAAACCAGCCTAAAAAGGAAATGCAATAAGTACGTGAAGAAATATAGGAAAAGTGTGGGCAGCCCTCACCACCAAAAATACAGGCTTTATAAATGGTTTGTAATAAACAGAAATGGTCTAACTGTCTTTTGGAGAATGGTTTATCTTATTTTAAGAGATTTATTTAAAATTCAAATGGAAAAGTCACCTTTAGTGAAATGAAATATTGAAACAAAAAATGGTTTATACTATTCAGAAACTGTGTAGCCACCCCCGTTGAACTGATTCAACTGAAATGGTTCAGTGTTGAAATGACAAAGTCAAGTCTTGAACGGATCAGCGTGTTGTGACATTCGTTGTCATGTCAAACTGTCCAGCTAACTGTACTTGGGTCAGTGCCTTGCCACAAATGGTTCAGAGTCGTGTGAAATGACTTAAGTTATCAGCAAATGGTTAACTGTAAGCTGCAATGGTTTAGCATTGCATCAATCTGCTTTTTGTTACGGTTGGAATGGCCTAATGTGACAGCAAATGGTTTAGTACAAAGCAATATCGTTTAGTCTTACAACAACTGGTTCACGCCATAACTGCCAAAAATACAAAAGTGAAATGAACAAGTCAAACTTGAAATGGAACAGTCTGTGTGGGGTCTTTCATCACAACCCTTACGTCTTTCAGATCAAATTTGGCGCGAAATTTCTCCGAATAAGGTATTCACCACAACGTCCACTCAATGTTCAACAAAGGAAGAAATTCCTTGTCAACTTGTTGAGCCTTACTCTGGTAAGAACCTTTCTTTTGCCTATTTTAGCTTGTTAGGAAATAAATTTACATCCTAATCATCTCAGTAAGTTAGTGATATTTCGGATGAACGTTAATAATCAATTGGTGAAAATGAAAGTTAGCTTAAGCTTATTTCACAGTACATTTTCCTATCACTTCAAACCATATAGTTTTCCTAATCTCCAATTTTTATAGCTTTTAGCTGTCCATTAGTTGTAGTTTCGTTGTCTTAAAACATTAACTTGCTTTATCACATTTCCTTGGGACAGTTCTGACTGCCTAGACTGTCATTGTGCAGTCACCTAAAATGATCCATTTTATTTGTATTTTCGTCATTCCTTTTGTTTCAGGTTCTCATTTAATCTTTAAGACCATGAAATTTCTAACAGTTGCAGCTTATCTGTGGTAAGAATTCTCCATTTAAAGTACACTCAAAAAATCTGAAAAGAATCATTTAAAAATGGCTAACAGCAATTTGAACTCCCAAAATGAGGTCTGATAACAAGAACAAAAGGGACCGTTTTACTTTCGAGGCAATGGGGAAGGAATGGAAGGGGGGTAAGAAGAACTTGGGGCTGCCTGAAATTTCATTTGATCAATCACTTGTACCTGGTTCTTACTTCATACAACCCCCTGCACACTTAGAAGCTAAATTATCAGTCAATAATGGAGTTTATCACATCTTTGCTTTTGTTAGTGAATTTAAAACTTCATTTTTAGAGTTCATCTGCAAACCAAGTCACACAAGCAGCTTCTGTTCTGAGAAGAGAATACAAGGTTTTGACTGATAGTTAATGCTGATAGTTCCACTGTTAGTGCAGCTGGTCCTAGTACTACTAGCACTAGTAATTCCACAGCCACTACAGGCTATAGCCAAGCTACAGCAGTTCAAGAACACCATCTACTGTTTACCCAACAAAGGGTATGCAAATTTTTAACAAATGAGTAGTTAATCTGGAAACTTAACTTTCTCCTAGCTCCCCAAAATTTGTATTGGTTGTCATCTTCTTGTTATTTACCAGTTGTAAACTCACTTGACCAATAATGTGGTTAAGGGAAACTCTTTCTGAACTTAGCTAGTTGTGTTCTATGCAATACTCTGTACCTTTATTATTGATTTCAGAGAATTCAACAATACAGTGGATGCCGTGGCACGCAAGTAGTGACAGAAACACAATGTGAAAGGTAATTTGGATTGAATTGACACAAATCCCGTTCCTAAATTTTCCCAAATGTTCACAATGTGTAATTTTTTTAGTGGCCTACTCACAAGACGTTCTGAGAGTAAAGGGTAGGTGTTACCAATCAATGAAGAACAGTGAACCACCACATAAACTTGAAGCTGATATAACAACAGCCTCAAAGATTTTAAAAGGCCGATGTTCCTGTGTTGCTGGTGCTGGAGGATTCTACTATCACATCATAGTGTTGCTCTTCTATCTGTCTCACTGTAAACAATCTGGTCTTAAGACAATATCTGACGGTCTCACATGTACTAGCCTGCCACAGAGATGGAGCATACCATGTGAGAGAAAGATCCAAAACAAAGTCATTCAGAACATATGGGTGAAAAAGCCTCAGCTAGGTACTAACTACTCTAACTAACTAACTACTCTAAACTTATCAAAACCACTTGATATTCACCAATAATGATCTTGGAACATTTACATGATCTTAAGCCCAAGCCATTGATGACAACTTTGGCACCAAAGAAGGACGAAAGCAGA